CGCCACAGAGAGAGTAAGAAATATATTCAAACTGGACGAGTGAGCTATCCTTTCACAACCTTAATCTGAAAATTTACAGCTGCAATTATGGGATGTCGACGTTTCGTACGAGATTACGTAGATTTGTAAAAATTTGTAGCATTAAGTTTTCTTGTCTAGTGTGTAAATTGTAAATAATTACTCTCAATATTATGATATGGCTGCGGAAAACAAATCATCTATAAAGTGTTGCACCTTCAAGAAAGAATTTAGTCGCTAAGTTCTGAAAAAATGCATGTCGAGCGATATGGATATGACTCTCGACTAGGAGGAAAGACTGAACATGGACATTTTATTGAAGAACCATGTACAGGCGGAGGTTCAAGCTATAACAGAGTGTCTTAACTGGTTAAATTCGAACATAGGAAAAATACAACCAATAAAATTACGGATAGCAAACTAGCTATAAATGCAATATCCTCCAAAACAATTAAATCCAAAACTGTATTGGAATGTATAAATACCATTAATAATTTCTCATAACAAGGACCTGCATGAATTATATGGATGCCGAGTCACACAGGAGCCACAGGCAACGAGATAGCCAACCAACTAGCTGGAAGTGCCACTGCTCTACCCACAATTGATGTTAAAACCGCCAAACCCTTTAGCACACCACGCCAAGAAATGAGGGCATGGGCGAATGAGACCCACAAAACCCTTTGGGTTAATGAGGGGACAGGAAAGATCACTAAAATTTTATGGGTTGACTCAAATGAAGACAAATCTACTCTTCTAACTTTCTTTTCATTTCTAGAGCGCACGACATGCCTCAACTGGCTTAAGTATATGTCTTTCTTTTGTTGGACATGTGGTGTTATTAACCCCCCCTCTTTTCAACCTAACCTAATCGTATTTGAGAAATTCTGACAATTGGAGAAGAACAATCTCCATCTATACCTCAATCTAGAAATATTTTGAACCATCTTGAATGCAGCCAAAAGATGTTTTTCACCTGAAAAATTTAAACGTGTTTTGCTTGCCGGAAAATGTACTTTAAATTTAAGGATAAGTTTTTTTTACTAAATCCGATCAAAAAAGTCGTTAGTTCCATTTATTTCAATCGTTCATTGGGGCACTTAAGTTTATTCGGTCAATGAACGGAAAGATTGATGCAAAATGACCTAAGTGAACGAGAACAAAAAGGTATTACTAGAGCAAAAGTAAATAGATTATCGAAAGAACAGGACCTAGTACCTATCGTTCCTCTTGCGGTATAATTCATTTAAATTAATTCGTTCTAGAACGACCCAACTCTAACGGAAACTATCACTACTACAGCATGACTTTCCCATGAGTACAAGGAACGAGTACATAGGCATTTGCTCGCGTCAGCTACTCTCTAATTCTCATTCACGTTGTGACTCCGCAAGCTGAAGTACATCTCTTTCATCTAATGAGGGCGGCTTGCTATTTTGTGTTGTGAATGTTCATTGCACTTACGATCATTCACAATTCTTTTTGTGGTTGTGGCTGTTCAGAGATTCGGCACTGTTCCACACATAGATCGGTTTATTCCACAATTCTTTTTGGTGGCTAACATTGTTGATCACCGTTAAATCATCGTTGCCGATCATCATCATTCCCGCTACCTAAATATATCCACACAGAGGCTTACTGTTCCACGCAGAGACTTCGGTTTACTGTTCCACATAGAGGCTTCGGTTTACTGTTCCACATAGAGGCTTCGGCTTATTGTTCGTAGATTGTACGAGAACTTAGTCAGTAAGCAACTACTAACATTGTTCCCGATCACCGTTAAATCATCGTTGCCGATCATCATCATTCCCGCTACCTAAATATATCCACACAGAGGCTTACTGTTCCACGCAGAGACTTCGGTTTACTGTTCCACACAGAGACTTCGGTTTACTGTTCCACATAGAGGCTTCGGCATATTGTTCGTAGATTGTACGAGAACTTAGTCAGTATGCAACTACTAACATTGTTCCCAATCACCGTTAAATCATCGTTGCCGATCATCGTATTGACACCTGATAACCATCATTCCCGATCACCGTGAAATCGTCGTTGCCGATCATCGTACTGACACCATATAACCATCATTCCCAATCACCGTTAAATCGTCATAGCCGCTCCCGATAATCACCAGCATATTAAGCCACCCGAAATCAATTATTTGTATCGCATATTTATATATAAACACACTAGTATTAAAATCAATAAACATCAGATTTTAACCCCAAAAAGGGAGACACTACTCTTTTTGTTTTGTTGGGTCCTTATGGAGACCTTGGACACGACTGGGCTAACCTCAGCCGACGAGAAAACCACGTTACAAAGATCAAAAATTGTATTTTATAAATTTTTATATTCTATTGTATTTCAGTTTTTGCGGTTCAATTTTTGACAAAGATTGCATATGGCGGAATCAATCGATATACGGTATATTTGATAGTAATAAGGCATAATATGAATTGTATTTGCAATATGTTTTTCATATTGGCTCTAATTAGGAAATTGGGTGTTATGGTTCGTTCCTGAAGTGGTTCGATATTTTTCTGTTCACTCCGGAAAAGGAACTAGGCCATTATTTTAGTTCTATAGTTCCGTTTCGTTCAGTCTGGTGCATGTCAATTAATTCGATCTGGCTATCCGATTAATTGTGCATAGTTTCTACTTGAATTCGACGTGAAATGTTGCCGACCATGAGAAAAATTACTAGGAAAAATTTTACAGTCGATTTTAAATTACCTTATTATTACATCATGTGTTAAATCAAAAGGAACATGGTTTAACGAGTGCAAAAATGAACTCGATAAAAGAAAGAGCCGAAACTAGTACCGATAGTTCCTTTTGCTGAATAGTTCCTTTGAACTAGTTTGCTCTGGAACGACCAAACTATATCAGATATATTCTCTAGGCAAAAAATTTATCCATTCTTTATGAATACGGATCAAATCAAAGGTTCAATTTAAAGAGATCCTCTTTCGAATGGATATGATGAGAAACTATAAATTTTATGGCGAAATTTTCATTTCACATCCACCTTGCAAATATGTGTGTGTGTGAATTCTCATTGAGTTGGCGAATATTTGTATGTATATTCACATAGCAAATAATAACTTAACTAATTATTGGTTACTGGTATACAGTACGAAAAAAAAAAATTAGTGAAGCTACTAATTAATGTGACACATTTTCTAGATCACATGTACGAGTATAGAGTATATAAATACAAATAAATGACTCACATAGATACATGGTTATTAGCAATAACGGGAATATTTATTGTCACAAAATATACAAATTGTTTGCTTAAAAATAATATTGAAAATAAATATATAAAAAATTATAATGAATAAATAATAAAATAAAACACAATGGTGGCATGTCGTTACAAACGATTTTATTTCAATTTTTGTAAGTCAACAGAAGATAATTTCAACCTCGATGGCAACTATGAAATTGTTTACAAATGTTAATAACGAATATAAACAACAATTTATTTTGAACAAAAAAAATATGGAATGACATGGTAAATAAACTTTAAACCATGTACAACAATACAATGGGCCGGTAGAGAGTATCAATGGTGGTGGTAGAGCGATAAAACCACCAACCAACTACAATACCAACAATATCTGCCCCGCCCTGCTGATCATGGACAGCCGTCGTCGTCGGTATGTTATCTTTAAACAAAAACAAATCAGCTCATTTATTTATTGTACACTCCAAAAAAAGCGTAAAATAATAATAAGTGGAAGCGTTTTTTTTTAATAAATGTCAATTCTAAATGGGGAGAAAAACTATGGGCTGTTTTTGGATCCGTTCGACGGTCAAGAGACCGTCGAAATTAGTCGCTATAACCGATATCAAATATATGGCGAAATGGAGTGTTTAAATACGACTTCGACAATATGATATAAGGAGGGAGGATATCAGTACATTTGACAACAAATTGGAGATTTCATGCGTTTTAGAAAATCCTATCGAAATAAGTTTCTGAATAAAAATATTTTTGTAGTGTTGGCGGTTTATTTGGGATACCATTTGTATTTTGTTTTTGCAAAATAGTCAGGCTGAATCCCAGTTTGTTGTTTTTATAAAAAAACAACTATTTATTAGTGAGGAATGTGGGAAAGGTATGGTATAGTTTGTAAATGCCTTGTTAATCTCGAAGTGAGGCACCAGCGAAATTTTCATGCAGTTTATTTCGTTGGTCAGCTAAGTACTTCGCTTTGTTACAAGAGACATTTGGGTTTGAAAGGTGTGCCATACTTGAGGCCCTATCCGATACTTGAATGTGAAGTGCATCATCATTATTTCTTCTGAGTGGTTGTTTAGGGCTTGAAGAAGATATATTTTAACAAATATTTATAGCATTAAGTTTTCTTGTCTAGTGTCTAAGTTGTAAATAGTTACTCTCAACAGAGCAAACAGGTCCGGATTGGTCCTAGATCCACCTTTAAGTATACCGATCGTCATATCTCGACTAGCTGAGTCGATCTTGTAAACACGATACAGGCCACAGTTATGGACCAATCTTCACGAAATTTTGCATGTAGGATGGGTTCTGACCAATGAAGTCCCCTATTGTCTTTGGTAAAGATCTGTTAATATTTAGGGGATGCAATGGACCAAAACTTTATTTATGTCCGATTTTCTGATCGCTCCGGAGGCCGCAACTTTGATTCAAACATTGCAAAATTTTACAAGGAGAAGGGGATAGGGCCAAAGAATAAGCATGTTTGCTTATAAAAAATTTTCTTATAAAAACAATTTCTTATAGATATTATGAAACAAAAACTATGTAAATTTAAAAAAAAAAAAAATCACGCTTATAGAAAATTAAATGTTTTTTCAAACAAAATGCTCAATTATAAGAAAATTTTTTTTTAGTAAAGCTTCCAGTTCCAGTATTATTTAAATTTAGTGATAAATATTTAATTTGCTTATAAACATATTAATCAATGTATTTGTTTTCTTTTATTTTCCAGTTGCCTGTTGCTGATCCGTTCCTAGAGAAAGTCAAACTTTCAGATTATGGTAAGTTAATATAAATAATAATTTTTCTATATATATATATATATATATATTGTAGAGATAAATCATTAATTATAATAATTAATAAATTTCGTGACATGTTCGACAATGAGTCCCTCGTTTTGATTTTGAATTAAAATCAAAAAAATTCTATAATCCTAACGATATGTATATATGGAAAGTGATTCTATCACAGAAAAATATTTGTTGAAATTTGTTTTGTTTCTTTTTAACAAAGTTCTCTCTAAAGTAGACAGTTGTCTATTAAAAAATATATTCAATTACTAGTTTGCCCTCGAATTCTTTATAGCAACCTTAGACTGTTCCAAGTCTAATATTCTAACAAAACAAATATTCTTATTAAATATTCATTTTCAAAATAAATAGCAAAATAAATGATATATGTATTTATATGTATATGAATTTTGTTTTTTTGGCAACTGATCAATTGATGTGTTAAATATATCTATATGATTATTTTGTTGGTATATTATTACTAAAACACTTAATGAATTCCTTTTGATAGAACCATGCATCGCATGTTTGGCGGAACATAGACACACGACAGACAAAACAATTTCAATTGTATTTTTTTTTTCGCTGTTAAAACAAATGTTTTTGCGGTATATTTTCTGGGAAAAGTGTGAAAAACATAACAATATTTAAATAATTTCAAAATTAATATATGTATATATATGTCGAAAAAATTATTTGGTGTACAAAATAGTCTTTCGGGCAAAAACAAAAAAGAAACATCATTTAAACTTTTTATTTTTGTCCACGAACATGAAATTTTGTTGTAGTCTTTTTTATTTGCTACTTGGTGGGTGATATACTTATTTTTTTATTATTATTTTTTTTTTTTTTTATCTTTTATGGCCGTATTTTTGTGGCCAAAACATAAAAACACTATAACAAGTGGTTGTTGACTTTTTAGATATTTATACAATAACGTAAAGTTGTCAACGTTTATGGCTAATAAATTATGAATTCAAATTTTGTAAGTTCTATAATTTTGTGTGTGTTGTTTTAGATATTTGTTTGCAAACATTTTATATACGTCATAACCTTCTATAAGTTTGATGAGACAAATGTCGTATTTTCAATAAATTTCCATTAGAAATTTTAAAGATTTTCCAAAAAGACTTTATAATATAAGGCCTCCAGTTTTAACAATTTGGGTTGTCATTTCGAACTATAGAGCGTATTAGTAATTATAATATCTCGAAACCAGTTGGCGTATGACTAATATCCATTAATATGAAATAATGAATTTATGTCGTATACTTCATATATTTTTCATATGCTCAGTGGACCAATTTATATTAAATTGATATATACAATTTAATATAAAAATCATATAGAAAATAATTAACTTGATTTCCTATCAAATTGTATTTATTTCTATTAGTAATCTCTTAGATAATGTTTTATTACTCCACGTTACATTACGTTACGTTATGCCCACTAATCATGACTTCAAATGACATGAAACAGCTGTGTTATAAAGTGTGGTACCTCCCATTGATATTACTTAAATAGAGTTGGATTTTTTATAGAGCTCTTGCTCTTCTTCTCAGTTATAGGTCTGTGACTTCTTCTCCATTTAATATTTTATTAAGCCAAGTTATTTTCAAAGCTCTTGGAGACATTCAATTTTGTTAGGGTTTAATTCGCTAAAATGTATTCTCCTTCATATAGTGTTTTTTTATCCACTAATTGGGGGAATAAACAGCTGTTTTTTAAAGAACTATACTACAAATTTACCGCATGACAATTTTAAAAATTGGGGAAATTTTTAAAGGTCGGTGTTTCATTTCCTTAAAGTTCTTCTACCTCATTTAATATTTTATTAAGTCACGTTACGTCATTTCCATAATTAATTAAGAATTTTTTTTTAATAAAAATTCCCCTCATTTTTATTTCTCTAAATGAAAAAATGGGTTCCATTTAGGGTAGCTCAAAATATTTAATATTTTATTAAGCTACGTTACGTTACGTGAACTTCCTCTTCTAATTATGACAATATACAGCTGTTCTGCCAAGTACTACCTTAAAAATTACAAAAAATTCAATGGACATTAATTGTAAAATATGTTTCAAATTGAAATGTCTCTCATTTTTATTTTGCTAAATGGAAAAATGAGTCTTATATAAGGGAACTCTAAAAGTCTAACTTTTATTAATATTTTATTAATTAATTGACACTGTTTGACCTTTACAATTTGGCGTATGACAATTTTCCTTTCTATTTCATTCTTGTTCTTCATTATTAAAAAGTTATTTTTTACTCTTTTTACTTTTATAACATATTTTGGATTATAGGTTTCTTATGTAGATCCTTTACAAATTGGTGCTCCATTCTACAAAGCTCTTTTTCCCCTCCTTGTTTTAAAAATCTCTCCAATTTTATATTTTAATATGCCACGTTACGTTACGACCACTAACCATACCCTTTACATGGCAATAAACAGCTGTTTGTTTAACTACTACCTTAATAGTTTGGCGTGTGGCAATAATCTACTCTTTTCATTCTTATGCATAGCCTCTAAAAATGAGTATTCCTTTTTACAAAGCTCATAAATGAGTTATTGAAATGGAATTTCAAGATTTAAAAAATCTCTCCACTTTAACATTTTATTACGCCACATTACTTTTAGTTTACGTCGCGATCACTAATCCCGACCTTTACATGACAATAAACAGCTGTTTTATAAACTACTACCTTAATAGTTTGACGTGTGGCAATTTGCATCTCTTTTTTATATTGTTTTTTTTTAATAAGATATTTTGGATTATAGGTTTATTATGGAGAGCATTTAAAAATTGGTGTTGCTCTCTACAAAGTTACTTTTCCATCCTTGTTTTAAAAATCTCCTCAATTTAATGTTTTTGCTCAGCCACGTTACGTTACGTTACAACCACTAATCATACCCTTTACATGGCAATAAACAGCTGTTTGATTAACTACAACCTTAATAGTTTGGCGTGTGGCAATTATCTACACTTTTCTTTCTTAAGAAGATCCTTTTTAGTTGTACAATTCATTTTATTTTATATGTTTCTTATGCTGAGCCTTTAAAAATTGGTGTTCCTCTCTACAAAGCTACTTTTCCCTTTCCAGTTTTAAAAATCTCCCCAATGTAATGTTTTTGTTAAGCCACGTTACTTTACAGCTGTTTGATTAACGACTACCTTAATAGTTTGGCGTGTGGCAATTATTTTCTCTTTTCATTCTTAAAAATATATTTTTTACTCTTTTTAGTTTTATAATACATTTTGGATTATAGGTTTCTTATGTAGAGTCTAAAAAAATTAGTATTCCTTTCTATAAAACTACTTTTCCCTTCCTGGGTTTAAAAATCTCCCCAATGTAATGTTTTTGCTAAGCCACGTTACTTTACGTTACGTTACGACCACTAATCATACCCTTTACATGACACCAAACAGCTGTTTGATTAACTACAACCTTCATAGTTTGGCGTGTGGCAATTATCTACTCTTTTCATTCCTTAGAAATATCCTTTTTAGTTTAATAATTCATTTTGGTTTATATGTTTCTTATGCAGAGCCTTTAAAAATTAGTATTCCTTTCTATAAACCTACTTTTCCCATTCCTGGGTTTAAAAATCTCCCCAATTTAATGTTATTGCTAAGCCACGTTACTTTACGTTACGTTACGCCCACTAATCATATCCTTTACATGGCAATAAACAGCTGTTTGATTAACTTCCACCTTATTAGTTTGGCGTATGGCAATTATTTTCTCTTTTCATTCTTTAAAATATATTTTTTATTTTTTTTTAGTTTTATAATACATTTTGGTTTATATATTTCTTATTCAGAGCATTTGAAAAGTTTGTGTCCCTTTCTACAAAGCTACTTTTCCCTTTACAGTTTTAAAAATCCCATCAATATAATGTTTTATTATTCCACGTTACTTTACGTTACGTTACGACCACTAATCATACCACTTACATGGCAACAGGCAGCTGTTTGATTAACTACAACCTTAATATTTTGGCGTATGGCAAATTTCATCTCTTTTTGCATATATTTCACATGAAAATGATTGGAGAAAAACAGTCGTGGGAAAAATTCGCTAATTTTCTTAAAAAAAAAACAAAACAAAATAAATAAAATACAGATGAGAAACTATTCCGCAAAGAAATTCACCTTTTGCAAAATTATATTTTGTTTTTGGTCTCAATTTTCTCACAATCGATGGGCAAATTGCCACCCTCGACAGGTCCCCTCATAATACTCAACAGATCTGTGCAGATCACAGATCTCACAGATGGCGGAGAATAAAAGGAAAGAATGCGAATTGAACATGAATGAGTATGAGGAGGAAAAAAAATGGCAAACATTGATGCTGTTGAAAACAGAAATTAATTTTTTCAGTTTGTTTTGAAAATTCGAGATGTTTAGAACGCGCAATCCTCCTCCTAAAGACGACGGGCGAAATGAATGAATAGAAGCGTGTGAAAAAAATAAATTTATTATATAAAAAAAAAACTAAAACAAAAATTAACAAAAGAAATGGATATTTTAATCACAAAAAATTTCGCACAAAAGAAGAAAAAACAAAATATTGAAATAAAGTAAAACAAATCAAATTAAATTTTTAATATTGTTGTCAAATGGTGTCTGTGATTTCGAATTTTGATGCTAATAATTAATAAAAAAAAATAATATAATTTGTATTGCTAATGAAAAACTCAAATAAAAAATCGTGTCATCTGTGGAATAATTTTAAATAAATTATATTGCAAATTTAAACAACAAATAAGCGTTATTTTTTGTTGTTGTATATCAAACAACAGTGTTTAACAAAAACCGAAAAAAAGAAATTTAAAAAAAATTCGCGTGTGTGCGTTTTTTTGTCGTTATCTCAGGGATATTCATTCTGGCTGTGTGTGATGGACGGCGTGCAGTTTATCTCAACAAATTATTGTAGAACTGCTGCTGCTGGTGTTGTTGTTATTGTTGCTGATGTTTGA